CAAATTCCAATCAGACCAGCCCACATATATCTTAGTTTATGGATGCGTTTCTTCGACGCGACCGGTTTGGGGTCACCGCATATTTACATCAAAATGTGTAATATACATAGAATATATAGAGTTGTTACGATATTTAAATTAACGACAGAATATATATCTACGATATTGCATGAAAAACAGCTTTTAATGAATGCCAAAGAACCACAGAATGTAAATTTATATATTATTTAGTTTCTTGTCACAACATGGACAAATGTGTGTAATGGTGTAAATGCAAAATGATAATAACTTTACATTGTTTAATTCTAGTCTTATTTATATTCGAGTTTTCAATTCACCACCCTCTAGTTCGTAAGATCGCTCGACTTTATCGCTTTATCATTTTCATGTTAATGAATATTTTTAAGCTTGTAATGTGAGAATTGGAAATATAGAGTCTGAATAAGATGTTTATGATGTCAGGTCAAGAAAATGATTTGGATTTAAACCAAACTTATTATTATTATAAGAAAAAATGTGCTTTCGGAAAAAATTCTCCAATGGCTTTGCAAATACGATTTAAGATCAAATAATATTCGTTTATTGTATTATACTTGATATTTTAAGAAAAAAAATAGTACGCCGTGTGAAAACTAGATAACCGAAAAATGTTCGACAGTCCATTAGATCGGAATAAGATGAATTAGCGTCAAAACGTTCTTTGGGCAAAATTTTAAAATACGTTTTTACTAGAACGAGTCTAACACAGGTGTTTTTATTTAATTACAAAAGTAACAATCTTTCTCAAAATTGATTTTTGAAATTTGTTAATAATACTTTCGCTCACATCAACTTAGATATAACAAAACGACCATATTTGTTAATTATCTTAAAAAAAATTTTAGAGTAACAGTCAGATGTCATCAATTTATTAGATCATTTTATAATGAAATAAACTATAATTTAGGAGCCACAATATTTCTAGTACAGTTTTATACATCGAGCAGATATATAAGTACGAGGGCAGTCCGATAAGTACTTAGCCTACAAAAGAAAAACGAAAATTTTGGAAAAGTGCCGATTTATTTCTCAACATAGTCTCCTTTTAGCTCGATACACTTGACCCAGCGATGCTCCAACTTCTTTAACTCATCTGAAAAATACGTTTTCTCGAAATCTGCAAAGGCCTCCGTGGCGGCGATGACCTTCTCATTCGACTCAAATTTCTGCCCGGCGAGTGACTTTTTCAAGTTTGGAAACAAAAAAAAGTCGCACGGGGCCAAATTTGGAGAAAACGGTGGATGGGGCAGCAGTTCGTAGTCCAATTCGACTAATTTGGCCGAATGAGGAGGTTATCGCCGCCACGGAGGCCTACTTTGCAGACTTCGAGAAAACGTATTTTTCAGGTGGGTTAAAGAAGTTGGAGCATCGCTGGGTCAAGTATATCGAGCTAAAAGGAGACTATGTTGAGAAATAAATCGCTACTTTTCCAAAATTTTCGTTTTTCTTTTGTAGGCTAAGTACTTATCGGACCGCCCTCGTATACAGATTTTAATTGCGTTATAATTGTTAGAATTTTATAAACCTATACATAAATCCTATAAATTGATTACATTCTATCTTTCTAAAATTCCACATTTCTTGCTACAATTCTTCTCTACACCTTTCTTTAATTTAAATTATTTTTACTGCCGTTTTCTTTAATATATTATTACCTTTATTTCTTTTTCTTTCCTTTATTTTCAAGCAGTCTTCCCGTTTAACTGCACGATATGAACTGTCCGGGCAGAGCCGCAAAAGTGCAATCGCCTTTCGCGTGCAACGTGAGTGTGTGTCGCGTGAGATCACGTTCTAGTAAGAAAATCTCGTTTCAAGAAGTGGACTTTGACCCAGGAAAAAAACAACGCAGCCTACCGCTCCGTGCATTTTAATCTGTTGTTTTCGTCCACAGAATAATATAAGATATTGTAAGTAAAAATATTAAGATTATAAACATTAACCGATATTCTAAGTACGATATTCTAAGTGGCGATATAATGTAACTATATCTTATACTCTAAGATAATTAGTCCGTAAAATTGTTTTCTTAAGAATTCTCTTAATTTTCTTTAAGAATTCTTCTAAATTTTAGCTGCATATTGATGAAAATATTATCTACACGTCTATAAAGTTAGAGAATGGTTGACATTCGGAAGCTGAGATATTCGCAACTGACATTTTTATACGTGTTCTTTGAGATTAATACCTATTTTTAATATGTATATTTAATTTCTCCTAAACTACATTTAGGATTTTAATGAAAAACTACTGTAATATTAAGGATTAATATAGAAACATTACAAAAGATCCCAAATCATTTTGTTGATTTTTATTATTTTGTTTTAAAGATATATAGGAGATATAAAAAATTTTAGGAGATGTATAGGAGATATAAAAAATTTTATAGTAACCCAAGCAACATAATGTCTAAAATTGAGACATAAGATGTCTTAAAGATGTATGTATTATAAATATTTAGATATTAATATATTTATTTATATACCATTTTCCACTATAAGTGCACTTCTATTATTTCAACTGACATAAAGTATTAATAAGAAAAATAAAAAATAAATAATATCTTCGTGTTTGTAATATTGTGTATATATTTGTATTAATTTTGCGCTTAAAACATTAACGTTTATTACTTAGTTAAGTAAAGTTAAAGGAAAATTTTTTTTTCAGTAAATAATAAATTTTTGAAAGGGTCTTTTAATATCGCCACTGAAAATCCGGCACTTCATGGCATCAACTACCTACTTTAATACACACAACTGCCTGTTTACATTCAGATTAGTGACCATAGGTGCGCAATGCATTGTTATAGCATGTCGGGGATTTGTGATCTTTCTTTCTCTCTTTTTTTTTCTTAGGAACGCTCAAACCCTTCTTTTGCACCACGCACGTGTTTCGAACAAACGTGATTTAGCACCTGAAGAAAGCACATATTTGCGTAGGTGTTTGTATTATATATACGCGTGATCAAAGCGCAATCCGAGGTCAGTTACAATTATCAGTTACAAGGTCAGTTACAATTATGTTTCTCGCGCAGATTACGAAGAAGCTTATTAACGGTGAAAATCACACAAGACCTGATAAAAATTATAAATGATATATTGAAGTTATAAATGACGATCTATAATTTGTGAAAATTTAAATACGTCATTGATCAGGAGCATTTAAAATTAATGAAAGTGTTTTTCATAACTTTTAATATTCGCACTTCGAACGTTAATCAGTTGAAAATTGCCAAATAAAATTTTTGTTCAACTATATTTTTTGTTTAAAACAGATAAATAACAAAATCACATTTTAATGACAAATTATTAAACGATTAAAAAATAATGTATATGTGATAAGTGAGGAAAAAAACACTAATTTGCGTCAACAGTCATTCGCGTTGCAAATTTATGACGAGTAATGGTTAATTAAGTCAATTTCTTTGTCAGCGAATGAAATCGCAAATGTTACCTATTAACACATAAACGTTAGTCGAAGTCCAGTTCCGCCGACTCGAGGCGTAAAAAATATTATATACTTTCTTAACCTATGCACCTAGATTTAACTGCCGCTTGTTACCATTTCAAGGTGTAATACCTGTTTTCCTCAAGAAATATAACAGATATTCCAAGAAGCACTTTAGAACATGAAGCGAAACTCGCGACTGTAGACGTTCGACTTTTGTGTACGACCACGTGTTGATTCGAGTATCACCGACAGTATTGTTTCGCTTCTCCCTCTTCCGCGGAGGTGTTTGACCCCTTTTCCGCCACGTGGCTTGTATCTTTCGCGGACGCGCGCACACACGTGCTGTACTGATTTAAATTTACTTCCTGATTACCGCCTGCGGTAAGTTATTGCGACGTATCTCATAAATTATGTAGCCGCGATTGGCAAAAGTGTAACGCAACGCGGAAGTGCATAATGCGTGCGAGACAAAAGATATATCAATTAAATCATTTATCAACTCGCATGACCCGCAATCGACTCGCGACTTCCGTTATTATTAAGCGATATATCCTCCGACACGTGGTAGACGCGGAAAAACTGTGGACAACCGCGACAATAAATCCGCCCGGCTCTTCGACAGTACTTTCTCTTTTACCCTCTCGTACCTTTCTTTCTCCCTCGCGAGGCGCGAACCCCCACTTATCTCGTTTCCAACACTGATGTGGAGAAGTGTGACCGGCAAGTGCAGGGTTTAACGATACAATGGCACAATGGCACGTGATATGCAAAAATACTTGCCGACTTGTCGTAAAAGTTGTTTGTTCCGCAGACGAGAATTCTATTATCTCTAATGAATCTCTCTCTCTCTTTTTTTCGGACACGCGGAATGACATCCTCTTGCTCGCAGGGAATCATGAATCATTTACGTCACGCAGCGATCGCGGCCAAGCGAAAGAAAAGCGATATGAATTTTCATATTTTCCGCATGATTGTCTCGACGCGACTCTCACGCGGCTCGTGTTCCGCGCGATCGCTTCGCATATTGTCGCGTTTTGCACGCACGGATCGGTGCAGCCGCGAATGCCGCTAACCTTCATTGACCTATTTCATTGGCACTTACCGCAGATGGCGCAGAAACGACTATTTGAATAGCGAGCGAACGGCGAACGCTATACCCGAATATTTTTTTCGCAACGCGATCGTCGCACTTGCGAGCGGGAAAGCGTGACTCCCGCCGACTTTCTCGCGATGAAGAATGTATTATACACGAGGCGTATAGAAAAGGACGATCCTAACGGCATTCGAAAGAGAGAAAAAAAATCACCGTGTCCCGGAAAAGGGACAGGCGATTGTGCGGGAGGAAGAAAGGTAGTATGTAAAAAGTCAGGGCTCGTAGCCGATTGGCCACGATCGCGAGGTTGTGCGGCCGCGCCTGTGGAACCGAAAGGCAAGCCATGCTTTGCTAAGCCCTCTCTAATAATAGAACACCATCTTGTTACGCGAACGCTAACGACGTCTGCTGCGTAACTCACCGTGTGAATGCGTGTGCGTGTGTACACCGTTGGCGGATGCTTGCGTAGTGAATTAGAAATGGACGAGTCGACCCTTTCACAGCTGGCTCCGAGTGTTGGCAACGCTACGACAGGACGGACCGTGGCAAAACCCGGATCAGACGAAACACACTTCTCTCTACTTACGACTGTGTATTTCGCGTTTGCGTCGCGTAGTCGTCGTCGGCCTGGGTGTTAGAGGAGACTGCGCGCAGTAGCCGCCAACCGAACGTATTGGAGCACCGATGCGCACTGGGCCGGCTGAAGACGACCAGCTACAGAGCCGCTGCACACCGCGTCTCAATGCGCGCGCGCCGTGTAAACCGAGCGAGTCGAAGGCCTGTATTTCGAACGCGCTCGCAACGACGTCGACGGGAGTACTCCTTATACTATCTGCAGAGAATTAAAATATCCCCTTCTGTACAATTACAATACACACGTCAACGTAAGCAAAAAAAACGGCTGACTTTATTGGGAAAACGAAAAAAAAGTTTTATAATTTGTTTATCTTTCTTTCGTTTTTCGCATAAGAAGTCAATCGTCTTCGTACATTCTGCGTAGCCGGTAATGAGTGCTGAAAAATTTACAGTAAAACAGAACTCCGGGATCCCCTTGACGCGCTGATAAGTCGACTTATTAGTAAGGGAAAAATGACCGAGAAGGAATTTTTGTAAACACGCGTAGTCCTCGGTTTTTCCTAATAGAACACTATTACCGTGTCTAGAATACGAGCAATATTGAGAATGTTGTCATATCTGTTGACGCGCTACTGTTAGCGCGCTACATTGTTGTATATATACTTGAAATTGAGGTCAAAGTATTATTCGAAATTAAGTCACGGAAGGATTCTTTTATTTCCCTCTAAGAATGGCAAAAGTCTATACGAATCGTTTCCTTCGACCGTTGCCGAAATATCGAGATTAGTTCAACGTACCACATGACCCTACTACGCGAAAATAACAATCGTATTAATTGAAAATGGTAAGTTCTTTAACTTGCCGTTAATCGGAGCAACATATTTAAACGGCGCGTTAAAACGTCTCGATGTCTAAAGGAGCAGAATATCCTTCAGATATCGATAAGATGTTTGTTGAATATTTATGTTTTCTGAAAAGTTATGTTATTTGTAAGTAAAAAACAGATCGACGGTTTTCTTTTTTTCTTAGCAAAAATTTTGGAACTATTAAAAATATCGGGTCTAACGAATCGCTCAGCTAAAACATTACCCAAAGTTCACACTGTATAGCTTACATTGAACATTGCTAGATGGCGCCAAGCAATCCGATAGTTGGATCGACTGTTCTTAGTTCCAAAATGTCCGCTACGAGGCGCCACTATTTCTATTGGCAGATGAAGATCGCAGACAGGATTCAAACCAAAGACACAACAATATCTGGACCGAACATTCTACGAGGGGGAGGTAAGAGCAAAGTTGAACCATTATGAAATTTTCTAATTAATATCTCGCCAATTAACAAAGCTACGTGAATAGAGCTTGCATGAAAGTTCGTTAGCTCGCCGCGAGACTCGAATCAACTCGTATATATTTCGATTCCAATTAATTGAAGAAGCATCAATATCGTATGGATCTATTATGAAAAATTTCGTTTTTAATATCTCGACAATTAATAAAGCCACGTTGGGCTGCGTGAAAATGAACTCAAACTTTTTACCCGCATCAAGACATCTTAAAGAAAATAAATGCGTATATGCGTATGATATAAGACACCATAAAGACATCTCTGAGATAATAAGACGTCTGAACATTTCTGTCTCTTAGACATGCATATTGTATGACTATATACAGGGCGAATCGATATTTTTCAACGATTTCTTGTCGTCATCGGTCATTGCCATTGAACCATAGAAGAACTATAGCAACATGAGTCGTTCGTCGACCACTAGTCGCCAATTAATGCCGATCAATTACTAAAATGGAACAACAAAGAACGTCCGTAACATTGATACAACCACCGTCTGCATTGATAGCGTGGGATCACGTCGGCTTCCCATGCAAATGTGACATTTCCCTGAGGGATCTCTCGGTCCGATAGGAGTGAAATAACGTTCTCCAGAACGCGAATTAAACGGTTCGTACACCATTAATAACCTCCCCAGGATAGAATTATACAGGCGGAAACGACGGTACATCCCGAGAGCTTATTCTCTCTCTCTCTCTCTCTCTCTCTCTCTCTCCGCGCGGCTTTCCTGCAAAATGTCTCGCCGCTCGCGCGGGAACGGTGAAAGCAAAAGCGGAAATCACGACGATAACAATTCTGGGAGACGCACGAGAGAAAACGGCTGCGATAAGCCGAGATTCCGCTTCGGCGGTCGATTGAAATTATTAAGCGATGCGACTCGATTTCCCGCGGACGGACCTCCCGCCGGGATAGCCTCGCGGCGATGAAGGGAAGAAAAGACGACCGATCTTGCTGATGCCAGACAATCTCGAGACGGGCGTGGGAATAGATTAGAGTCGATTGCGATCCTCGTCGTTCCTTATTATTCTCTAGTCATCCTCGGTAGGCGCTCGGCGTGCAGCAATCGTACGTTTTAATGAAGTCCGAGGGACTCAAGGCCCTTCTGCCGGTATGCACTTTCCCCGGGTTCTCGCCTTTCCCATCGAGCTTCGGGCGCGAGTAGACGTGCACGCACGAAATCTTCTTGAAATAACACGAATAGCCTTGAACGAGTTTCATTATAAAAACGTATTTTAATTAAAAAACCTGCGCCCTCAGCAACGGTAGGTTTACTCGCGAGGCTACGATGTGAGTACGCTTTGTCCAGACGGACAATCGCGTCTCAGCGGTCTCACAATACTTTCCAACGTCGGAAAGAAATAAACGTAGTTTCGAAACAGACGTGGAAAATAACGCGGGCCCTGCTGAAGCAGGAGAATCCAATTTGTCGGGTAGCTCGACGAGAGAACGACGGACGTGCGATCGTTGGAGGATCCAATTTGTTAAGGAGCTCGCCGGGGAAAACATCTTTATTCATTCTTCACGATAACGAAACCGTGAGATGTAATTTCGCTACACGCGAAGTTATCGGTCGCGCCTCCGGCTCGATGTTGCTACAAAAGGCCGTTTCGCCTCCTCCGACGATTACTGGACGAGATCCTCGCCGAAGAAAGTAATCCCGCGGCGATTGTCGATTACCGATTTGGTAAGAGCACCACCGCTGCGGAAAGCATTTACAGCCGTATCACGTCCTTCCGCACGGGCATGCAGCCACCTGCGACTAATTGCGAGCGCGGCGATCACGTACTAACGGCCCGGTCTCGGGGATGGCGTTTCCCCCTCGGTTGCGACCCTTTCGCGAGGGGCGGAACTTTCACGGCGCGCTACATTCTTCGGGCATTATCCCGTCTCGATCGATTTGTTCGACGCTCGGTTAATTTAACACGGTGAAACTACTCGCGCGCCGCACCGCCGTCGCCTCCGGTGTGTTCCTCTTCGCTACCCGCCGATTTCGAAGTCATCGACCAACACCGCCTGGCACTGCCGATGGCACGAAGCAAATTAATATACCGGGCGATATCTGCAATGGGTCGTGGAGAATCGCGACCGTTTAACGTGTTGTAGAACAATCGCCCCTTTGCTCGGCCGCGATCGGTCGCGTCTAACGACGTTACGTCGATATGAGGCTCTCTAACTTGTTTATTAATTTATCGGGAGAGAATCTGGGTGACTGTGCTTCGATCGATGTTTTCGTTCGACGCCTACGCTTTCTACAGCAACTTGCTCATGGTGGTAGGAGCATTCCAGTGAAAATAAATTAACGGGTTAAAGATTAATCAATATCTTTCTCTTTATATATATATATCTCTCTCTCTTTCTCTTTTCTTACAATCCTCTCTTTTTGTGTATAATTTTATTGCTGTAAAATTCATTTATTGCTATAAAATTGAGAGAATCTTCGACTTTTCTCGATTTCCTCCGTAACAGACAAATCTGCAAAAAATATAATCATATCTTGATTCGTTGTTACTATTCTTTTCGTAAATATATCGCTTAGTAAAGGTTTATTATTGTGAAACGTTAACATATTAAGATACCTAACCACTTCGTGCCAGATTATTTAACGTCTGGTAACATATTAGCGTTTAAGTCTAATGTTGATAAAAGAAAAAAAATTTCTTCGTTGATATGATAGCTACGATGAATTCGCTATTTCCGTAACTCAATAAATATTTGGAAAAAATTTGGGAAATAGTAAATTATTCTATAGAAATATATTATCAGATTCTTTTTTTCGTCGTTTTCACTTATCGTGGCAATGAATCATTTGTAATATATTTATAATAATTTACTATTTCCTAAATTTTCAAAATATTTATTGAATTACAACAATAGCGAACTCGTTTGTAGCTATCATATCAACAGCAAAATATTTTTTATTTTATCAGCATTAGATTTAAACGCGTGATGCTGATATGTTATCAGATAATAATCTGCATCTGATCAGCTAAATAATCTGCGCACTATATCTCATTGTATACGCACACATACCTTGGTCGATACAACGTCCATGATGTTTTAGGGTTTCGTAATTTCGCCCGGAAGGAGCAATGTCATCGCATAATTTATAGAGTTGCCCAGTAAGTTGAATCGGGTCGTTGCACCTTCCCTTCGGGACCTACTTCGAGGACGTTCGTCATGGAAGGACAGTGAAACTCCTTCGTGCGACGCGCATCGCGCGCGCGCGCGCGCGACGATTACGCCTTTCTCGGGCGGTACGGCTCTATGCTAAGTTCTATCTATCTATCTGACCCGCGGAATTTCCAGCGAAGCGTGAAAATCACGTCTCCTTTCGCGAGAAGGCGTGAGAAGACCGGTGCGTAACGAGGTCGGAGGAAATCGGCGACAAAGGTCTCGGCGATGACGCGATGCCTATCCAGACTTCGAGGATCGTCGAAACGGAGAAAGCTATACGACGGCCACCGGTATATCCTGTTACCGTGACTCATCTCACTCCAACACATCATTCCTGCGTATTTCTCTGTCTTCGTCGTTCCTCTCCCCGTGTTACCCATTATCGTGCGCCAACAATGACGTGTAAATTCCGAAATCTTCCGGTGGTTATCGACTTTATTGAGTTTCACTTCGTCACTTCGGCTTGACTCGCGCGGCCCGTGAGAGTTAATTGACCCTGGTGCGAACGCGCGACCGTCGGAATTATACGTTCTGCAGGTGATGTAAATTAAATCTCGGAACTTGAGCCCGCGGCATTCGATAGCACCTTCGATTTCTCAAGCTGATTTCGTCG